TTAGGTGTGTGAATTTTTCTTAATGAGAATGTGAGGCAATGTGGTATATAGGGTAGAAAAATCAAAACTTTTAACAGATTCAAAATCACCAATATATGCATGCAATTTATCAAGTACTCCAATGAGTTCTTTACACTCCAAAAGTAATTAATTCCGCTATTTTCGAAGGCCTTATTTGAACAATTTATTATCAGGTTTTTGATTGTACCAAGTGTACTGGTAAGAAGAATAGACAATTTAGTAGTGGAACAATGGCTTGAAGACGAAATGAATCTATATTTGTAAGGTGTTTTGTGTAGCTTCGGAAGCCAATACATAGTTGGTACTTTCATTGTATTTGGTTCTGCTTGTAAAGCGGTAGCTAAAAGTTTATGTTTGTTACAGATGTCGTTTTCTGAAAATGGAGTCAGTTGGAATGTTGGTGAATTGGTGATTTCTTTTTTCAGAACCTCAATGTAAAATTTACGTCAAACAATAATAATATTATTAGCAGCTTTATCGGCCGGGACAAAAACAAATTCCTTGTCTAGTTCTTTTAGTTTATGTTTGATACGAGAAATAGGTTTATTGTGGTTATTGTTAAGAGTAAAATGTTCTTTAAAATGTTGAATACGTATATCAACTATGTTCATTACTGATTTAAAAAAAGAGTCCAAAGATTTTTTGTCAGCTTTTTCCCGTTTTATCCATTTCAAACAGTAAGTATGGAGTGAGTCGTGGATGATATTACGACACTCATTCCAATTAATAATTGACGGGGGACGATATTTAGGTCCTTTACTGAGGAATGATTTTAACTCTCGGTCTTGAACGATGTTAAGATCTCCTGTTATAACATGGGAAATGGGTCCATAAATGTATTCGGAATTACTGCAATTACATGAAGTAGGTGTATTTTCACTGATATTAACATCTTTACACAATTGGCTATAATTAAACACAAATTTCCGGGTAGATTTCTTGTAAATATAACAAATAAGAGGGAGCTCAGTATTATCAAAATATCCCGGAATTTGTTCTTTAACAGAATGGTCGTTAAAAATACCGGCAATATTTACAAAATCAAAACCTTTATTGACATACTTTATTTTAATAAACTGTTTTTTTATGATCTTCAGGGCGATCAATTTTGGGAAACAGTTTAGAATAACAATATGCCATTATAATTTGAACGATTTCATACTTAGGACTGCTATATGAAATTGTGTTGCAATCCTCTAAAATTTTATTTAACTTATTAACCGGTAATGAACAGAGCTTTGTTAACAGATAATGTCTGCCGTTGTTTTTTGAAATAGAAATTAGGTCCGAAATATTGGTATGATTGGTCCGAAATTTTCTTTGATTGCGATTTTTTCTACGACCATGAGAACGGTTTTTACGAACAGTTTTAGAAACTATATCCAAAATGTTAACAGAATCGGTTCTTGATATATTACCAATTCCCATGATATTATCATTAAGACCGAGAGGGTAGACTGTCTGTAATTTTTTAATCCAATTTAATTCAATTATTTTCCGCGATCGTACAAACTTTGAATGAGATTCACCAGGCTGCTTATTTACTACATCTAAAGGTTGAACTGCTAAATATTTAATAGGATGATTGTGCTTCTTAAGGTGTTGATAAATGATACTTTTGAATTTATTGGGTCTTTTAAAACGATACAGATGTTCTTGAGTGCGTTTAGATAAATATCGTCCAGTTTCACCTACGTACTGAATACCGCATCCCGGTTTGTTTCATGTGAGTAAATAAATTATACTGTTTGTTTTTCAAGTTATATCAGTTTCAAAATTTAAAGAAAATGTGCGACCATTAAACGTGGACCTTACCGTATTGTTGGTGGAAAGACGAGGACATGCAAGTCATTTTTTGGCATGACACTTATCGATAGAAGGGTAACCACGATTTTTATTGTTAAAAATGTTAGCGATGGTAGTATTTTTAGATAAGCGATTTTGAAGATTGAGACGTGTAGATACCCTTTGAACGAGTTTAGTATTTAATATTTTTCCATTTTTAAGCTTCATATTTGTTTTTTGTTTGTGAATTATATTAGAAAGGAGCAAAGACTGGCGTCCAGAATATGAACCAGCATACAATGAATTAAATTATGTAAAAATGATAAATCTGTTCGGCTAAAGATGTCAAACGCTATCCGTATTAATTACCCGAAAAAGAAAGGGTATATCAGGGTAGCGACTGACGTCTGACTAAATAGTAGAATGGGGCTGAATATTGAAATACTACTCTTTGATAAATATACCTAAAGTAATGAACTAGAGAAGTTCTCGCTCGGACACACACTCCATAATCTAGTATATTATAAGAGCATAAACCTGAAGCACGGGGAGGCACTCTACTGTCTCCACACGGCACTAAAGACAAACTCTGTAAAAAAAAAATTGAGAATGGAAATGGGGAATGTGTCAAAGAGACAACAACCCGACCATAGAACAGACAACAGCAGAAGGTCACCAACAGGTCTTCAATGCAGCGAGAAATTCCCGCACCCGGAGGCGTCCTTCAGCTGGCCCCTAAACAAATATATATACTAGTTCAGTGATAATGAACGCCATACTAAACTCCAAATGTCTGTTTTGTGTTCCTTTTAAATGTTAACCAAAGATGAAGAACTATATGTCTTCCTATCTAGTATTATTGGATAGAAATTAGAATTACATAAGTTTCCTAAAACATAACGTCTATCAAATGCTACACGAAACTATTTTTCCACATAACTAACATAATATTCTATCAGCAATAAACAATGTCCTTCAGAGCTACTATGTAATTACCTACCGTTGAGGTGGTTAAATCAATTTCAGATTCTGAAAAATTAAATATCTGTGTTAAAAGAGTACTTGCAATCCAAGCCCCAATTGTATTAAACATTTAGTTTTTACGTCCTATACATATTAAAGTACAATGTATTCCTCAATCTAAACTTAAAAAAAGATAATAAGAATCAGCTCATCATTAGATCTTATAAAAGATAATGACCTAGGTGATTACAAATATCTTGTTTCATGCTGAGTCAAAGCTTTCTTTGTAAAGGTTATTCTGATTCTAACAAAAAGTTATCTCAAACTGACGTCATCAAAATGCTTGACAACATATTTGTTATATTCGGTGAATGTTATATTTTTCAACAGAAAGTCTGCATTCCCATGGGAACCAACTATACTTCTCACCTGTAATCGGGGTTTATGAAGACGAACGAAAAGTGGCTTCAACTTCACTTTTCAATATAAAAATTATTACCATTCTCTGAATAATTCAAAGTCTGGGTACATATGCTGATCGTATCTATACCATTGAATCTGAAATACACGGATGCAGCTTAGTATACTTCACACCTAGACTTATGTTAGTACCAACGATGAGGTTCGGTTGAACACTTCAATTTACCAATATGAACTTATTAATTTAGCTCACCTGGTCCAAATACCATACATGAAAATTATTCCACTTCACACCTATAGACTTATATTAGTATCAACGATGAGGTTCGGTTGAAAAATTCAATTTACCAATGTGAACTTATTAATTTAGCTCACCTGGTCCAAAGTGCAATTGTAAGCTTTTTTTCATCACTTGTTGTCCGTTAGCTTAATACAACACGGTTATCATTTGAAACAACCAGAACAAAAGTTAGCCACAATCATCCTTATTATATAGTATCTAGTTTAAAAAAAAAAGAGTCCGATGATACAGCCTACCAAACCATCATGGCATCCACTGCTAAAAATAGAACATAAGGGAAGAATGAAAGTATTTTATAATATCTTGAAATCCGTTATGGATAGAAAAAACCGACAGTGGGGAATGTTCAGAATGTCAAGATGTACTCATGGCAATGTTGACCAAAGTTGTCATACGATTCCTTATAGAAATTATTGCCCTTCAAAGGCGATATTGGTCATTCTCTTTTATAAGATCTAATGTTGAGCTGATTCTTATTATCTTTCCGACATTGGGTTTAGATCGAGGAATAATTGTGTATAGCGTAAAAATCAAATGTTTTAATACAATTGCATGGGTACTCTTGAAAAAAGATATTTATCTATAATCTTGAAAATTAATTTTTTGTTTGTTTATTGCTTTGTTTGCTATTATCTTGAATACTGTAACTGAACGCCCGAAACTTTTACCAGTAAAAATGATCAACAAAACAATATCTACAAATAAGCAGCATGACCGAAATAGTCAGTCAACTCTTAATAGGAGTTATTGTCTAATTACATCGAGAGAAACTGTGGAAATAAAAAATGATTAGCAAAAAAAGATTTACAAATAAGTCAAATGACCGAAATCGCCAGTCTATTCTTAAAGGAGTTATTGCTCCTAAATATGGAGTTTTTTCGACTATAATCTTTAAAACTATGTCAGATATAAGCTTAAAACACTAACAAGTATCAACAAAACAAGATATATAAATACATGTAAGCAACATAGCCGAAATCATAAGTCGACTCCATATTGGAGCTACTGCTCTTAACTATTCTGTTAAATATTTCTTGGGTTTTCCGCCCTTTTTTCATAGTGTTGTCTCTTTCCGCCCTTTTGACACAGCGTTGTTAGTCTTTCTTCGACTTAATAGTATACTTTATGATTGCCCCTTATTTCTTTTCCATAGATGACTCTCAAGATGATATATTTTAGCAAATTTTTAGTTTTTATCTAAAATGAATAGGAATGACTTATCAAATCGAAAATAAAGGCATGTAAATTCTTACGACATAAATAATTGCATTTTGGTTTCCATCGTCAACGCATACTTTTACAAAAGCATACAAACATTAAAAAAAAGTCTTCAACAATAGCTTCTATATATGAAAGTATTTTTTTAACTTTTGCATTAGAAAAAATATTGAAAAATCATTGGATTATCCACTTGAATATTCAAATCCCACATATCATTCGAACATTGACCTTGTAAAAGAAACAAATGCAAGTAGAAATGGTTATACCACTTTTAACGATAAGAGTTAAATAGACGTATTAAGAATAATTTATTCAGAAACTGGTTCATGTACTGATGGGGCAAGAGTAAACAATACAGTCGATAACTTTGCAAGGAGTAAAGGAATGAAGCAAATTAATTTTGAGAACGGTTTCTCTGAAGGATTAATTTTTCTGTTCAAAGCACTAACATCTTCCTCAAATATAGTATCTGGTTGTAACATATGTTCTAAGTCATCAACTAAACACTGTACAACACTCAAATCGTCCATATCGTCTGACCCGTGTACTCTCTGAACTGTCGTCTGCAACTTTGCCTTAACATCTTCGACTGTTAAACGTATGCTGTTTACAATCATAAGATATTCTCTAAACAGATCAAGACGAACACCAGACGACACACCATGAGTCTTGTTCAGATATGAATATAGCTGTAGGAGTTCCGACAGAGAATTAATTTCCCCCTGACCCTTTGGCATAATAATATTTAGTATTCGAATGTATTCGTCCATTGTTTCATCAAAATTCGTGTTTCGTTCTTGTATTCTCTGCACATCTTGAAGAATTGTTTCTCTCCACTTTTCATTAAACACACTATGTATGTGAGTCTCATCTGAAATAAAAGGACAAAAACAAATGAATAATGTTAGAAACAATCAGATCAATACTGTCAAGACTTGTCGAACATCGTCAAAAGTATGTTACAAGATTTTTACAACACACCAATGTATGAATACAAGAAAATGGTTTTTGTTTTTTTGTAACATCAATAATTCATTAGTTAAACATTATACATGTAGATGTCTTATTTTGGTTTTACTTCGTTGTTGGGTTTATTGTCTCACTGACACATACCCTATACATTTATGTTGCATGATTTTTTTTTCATTATTTATTGTTTTTGGCTTTTAAGTAGCTTTCAGTAACTGCGAGTACTCTCAAATCGTACTTTCGTGTTAATTTGACCTGTTGATACAATTTGTAATGCATTTTTGTTATTTAATGTTTACTTACTTTGATAAGTATTTAATATGACGATAAATTTTCACTTCTGTTCTCGTACTATGAACAACAAATTTATTTATTTTGAAAAAAATATTTCCGTACTCCATGTACTCCTTTCAACAAAATTATTTTTATTTACCTGTGTACGTTATTTTTTTTAACGGCATTTTGTCCAAGGTTATAGTTTTCTTTCTGATATTGTTTTACATCTCACCCCCTTTTTTATTAATTTTGTATTTACATTGTGTCATAGATCAAATTTATTCGTTCAGTGTGTGTTTACTTGTTTTTGTTAATATGTCTTTTGATTGAGTTAAGGCATTTCAATTGATATTTTATAGTGTATCTTTATATGTTGTGATGTTACACTATTGTTTCAAGTTAGGATGAAGGTTGGCGCCTGTTAAAACGTTTAAAACCTGTTGTTCAGTGGCTGTCGTTTGTTGATTGGTTCATAAGTGTTCCTCGTTTTTTATATAGATTAGACCGTTGGTTTTCCTGTTTGAATGGTTTTACACTAGTCATTTTTGGGCCCTTTATAGCTTGCTGTTCGGTGTGAGCTAAGGCTCCGTGTTGAAGGCCGTACTTTCTAACCTATAATGGTTTACTTTTACAAATTGTGACTTGGATGGAGAGTTGTCTCATTGGTACTCATACCACATTTTCTTATATTTAATTATCATATTTGGAGATCGTGTATTTTTTTTTTACTTTTCAAAATAGTACAAGATCTGGATTTCCTTTCCACTCCATTTGAGAATAGGCGGGGAAAATGGGAAGACAAACACAACCACTGAACTACATATACAATTTACATAAATATTGTTTTATCCTCAACCGTTGTCTTTGGTTTTCATAGAAATCGACATGGCTTAACCACGGACCGCGAAGAGGACCCCAAAGCAGGATACAGAAGAATGTACTTATACATATATAGAGCAAAATGTTTTATTTGTTCAATAGTTGAATGATTGCAGGATGAAATTATATCAACTTCTTAATGGGAGCATGTGAATACGTAAAACTTTAAAATTCTTTCTTGCAATGATTGATGACTGTTTCATTGGACACGTTTCTCGTCTCCCTCTGTATTCTAGTATACAAAAATCCGTCAACAATTTAGAATTGGATATATATAGGGGTAAAAAAAAGTGAAGTCTGGGAAAAAGAAGGGAAAAAGTCGGAATTGAGGAAAAAATTACAAAAAAAGTGGGATTTAGGAAATGAGCACACTGTGTCACTCCCTAACTGCAAATTCAAGACACGCCACACATGTTTCCCTAGATTTACCACATCGTGCACTCTTTTCAATACCCGATTCTTCCTACCTATTGTTTAATCTTCAATTCATACAATAAGATCTTTTAATGAAATTTCCATTTTTTTTAACTAACCAAAATAGACATGCCTTTGGACGATGAATTGACATGTCTTATTTGATGCCGGGCAATAGAGTGAGATGACCTTTGCTAATAACTGCTTGTGATAGTTGTCGTGTTAAATATTGAATCATCGTGCATATATTGAACTCATGAGCTGATAAACAAGTTTGTTGTAGGATTAAATATTTATACTATTTTCCAAGGGAAACATGTATACTGCAAGTTATGTTACCCACCTGTCGCCTAATATTGTAAAATAAAGTCATAAATGTATCTATTGTAAATCTCCTTAGTTTAAACACGTTCTTAGGAAGTTAAAATATACTTCTGATAAGTAAATAATTATTGATTAACAATGAACCAGCTATATTTGTAAATACCACACACTTTAAACGTGCAAGTTTGGACCGCATACACTTTACCTAAAAGTGCTTGGTTGTTACTCAAATAAAGATAACTTGTAAAGTTTTGCATGACACATTCAGTACATAAATGCAAAACGTTTCCCCCCAATAACTCTTCAAAGACGAAATAAGACGTTAAAATTGTAGTTTCCATCAAATATAAATCGTTTAAGGATGCCGATGTCCTCTCTTACCCTTTCAAACTATTCGTTTTTCTCTCTCTGAAAAACGAAACTAATTACTGAAATATTGCAATGCTGCAAAATTATATCGGTTAAGAACTTTGTCGATCTATATAGTATGTGCAAAATAAATAAAAAATGGAACCCGGGACTATTATACTATTGATGGAACCATCCATGAGAATTCACAAAACACTGCTAAGACTTGAAAAATAAGAAAATCGTAAGGTTATTGTAGAGTACGGAAGCCGGTTAGTATCAGGGTGTAGTATCTAACTTGTTATCAAGCCTTAGTATCGGGGTGTAGTAGCTAACTTGGTATCGCGCCTTAGTATCAGGGTGTAGAAGCTAACTTATTATCGCGCCTTAGTACCAGGATGTAGTGGCTAACTTGTTATCGCGCCTTAGTATATATCAGGGTGTAGTAGCTAACTTGTTATCGCACCTTAGTATCAGGGTGTAGTAGCTAACTTGTTATCACACCTTAGTATCAGGGTGTAGTAGCTAACTTGATATCGCGCCTTAGTATCAGGGTGTAGTAGCTAATTTGTTATCGCGTCTTAGTATCAGGATTTAGTAGCTAACTTGTTATCACACCTTAGTATATATCAGGGTGTAGTATTTAACTTGTTATCGCACCTTAGTATCAGGGTGTAGTAGCTAACTTGATATCGCGCCTTAGTATCAGGGTGTAGTAGCTAACTTGTTATCGCGCCTTAGTATCAGGATGTAGTAGCTTACTTGTTATCGCGCCTTAGTATCAGGGTGTAGTAGCTAACTTGTTATCGCGCCATAGTATCCATCAAAGTTTCGTTTCTTTGCAGGATGGAGACGTTCTTCTACATTAATATAACCATATAGCACTAACAGTAAAGACAAATGGACAGGTAACCGTAAGTTATATGATAATTGCCGTGCTTGTATTGGAGCAACGTACCAAAGTGAATCAACACCATAGAAAAATGAAAGACTATAATGCTCATGTTAATTTGACGTATAAAATATAGCACCAGAAATAAAGATCCACTATTCATTGGTTTCGACATCCATGTATATCGTTTACCGTTTTAATTTGTGTTGGTCAATTGTTTATATATCGCACAACCGTATCGATATGTACTTACTTCAATATGCTGGTTTGCTTCTTCAGACTAGGCTAATGTGAGCTATTTTATCAAAACATTATATAAGTAATACTATGTGTTATTCGGGATCATCACAGGGGATATGGACTCATATTCCTTGTAGATGTTGTATATCTCCTGAGCCGCTATATCCCCTGTGAAGCCCGAATAACAATTATATTAAACTGGAGTGTCCTGATTTCAACACTAATTATTTAGTACCATTTTATCACTGCTTTCCTTCACAGTGGATATGGGCTCATATCCCCTGTTTAGGTAACCAATCAAATTGCAAGATTAACAGGGATATTTCACTCCAGTAAAGTATATGTATATACATACCATCAATAGACGATTCTAAGCAAGGGTAAGATTCAAACGATGGCGGTGGTAATGTGTCTGTTGGATGAACACTTTCTTTAAACTTCCGAGACAAGAAGAACTCTCGACAATGATCAAGGACCTCGGTAGATAATTCCACTTTTATTCCTACATTTTTAGCACAAGTAGTTTTCAAGGCATTTTCTGTAATGAACACATTTTGGCAGATGGCCAGCAGACGACGTGTTTTGTACATTTGATTAAAAGATTCTAATGCTCCTAATGTTAAGATTTTTAATCGTACCAACAGGCTTCCCGCTTGAATGTCTGTAACAGATATTTCACGAATGTTAAGAGCATTTTCTAGGGCTCTCATATGAATTTCTGTATTTACCAAAACGGCTTCATAAAATGTTTCTGTCATTTCTTTAAGTTTTTCTCTCCAAACTCCTGTTACTTCATTTAAGGGATCAATATTTGTGACTAATATTTTCAAACACATTTCACCTAAAGCAGAAAATTCAATACAATTGAAACTGGATATAATTATTTGAGTCAATGAAATGAATTTAGACTTTAATAATAACGCTAATTTCTCGTCCAGATCAATATACACATGCAGAAAATACTAGTAACCAGATCGGCTTTCGCTTTTACTCTTAGATTCTTACCTAGTATAATTGGAGTAATGATTGGTTTAATTCTTGGTTTGCTAAAGCGTCACTCTTAAACAAATAAGCATTCCATTTCACTGTGAAATTGCAAACATATGTGTCTTTTTATGCCGTCGAGTTTCTGTCCATCAAATCCTTTTATTCATAAATATAAGTATATTCAGATCTATAGGTGAAGCTTATTATTTTGTATTTTTATGATATAGTCGTTCACGAGTCTTGGAACCATGTAGTAACACAAAATATTGACCCACAAGTTTCAAATATATGGCTGCGTTATAAAAAATGTAAACCGATTTTAGATGTAAGTGTATTATACAGTGTTGATGATAGACCTTTGGGTATTTTTTGTTAAACTTATTCACAACTTGTCGTTACTCAGACGATTTACAGCTTCGTATATGGTATAGACCATGGCACATTCTTGGACAAAATCTATTTCTTATTGTTTGGTTGTGTGGTAGGGTTGCTGTTTCATTGAATCATACCCGAAAAATACTTAAAATTTACATGTAAACGAAAATATTCCTAGTGTCTCTTTTGTTTTGGGGATGTATAAATACCCTGCCACGTCCCGTCTGTGTTTTTGTTGCTTGTTTTTCGGCTTTGTATCGATCTGATGAGTTTGCTCATTGCTGAAGGCCGTACCTATAGTTGTTATCTTCTATGTCATTTGGTCTCTGGTGGAGAGTTGTCTCCTTGGCAATCAGACCATATCTTCTTATTTTTATATTAACACAAATAACGCACCACATCTTACCATATATATTAGTTTCACAATTTATTGTTTTTTCCCAAAATTTGTAGAAATATCGTATATTTTAATCACAAATCTTCAAATTAATGCAGAGGTTACAAGAAAATTCTTATTTTATTAGCGACAAAGATTTAAACCACACCATTAGACAAGAATTGGATTATGAAACTGAAAAGTCATTTTCGTTGTTTTCAGGTGAAAAGTTACACACCACGTCTTTAGATTTTACAAAAATGGCAACATTTGTTTTGTTTTATTTTTGTTGTAATCTCTGTCCTGCCTTTTTATTTTTCACTCTATTCGGTCCTGCCTTTTTTTATTAGTTTATCCTGACTTTTTTTACATAAATTGTCATCCTGCCTTTTTTTATTACTCAAAACTCCTGTCCTGCCTTTTTTTCAAATTTCACCCTAGCCCCCCCCCCCCCCCCCCCCCCCCCCCCCCCCCCCCCCCCCCCCCCCCCCTTCCAAATGGTAGCTCCTAACTTTAGAAACTTTGTGACACATTTTGAAAAAGTTACTCCAAAGAAACGAATGGCGGTGGTGAGTTTCTTTTGTTGTTGAGTATATCTTCCCAAACACACACCACACACACATTAGTATTTACAAGGATCTGCTCTCGGCAGTTATACTTTCATTATAGGAAGCTCCCTCTGAACTAATCGATGTGTAAATTGGGTGCATACGGATTTCTATAAGTTTTTCTTGTTTCCGAATCCCTATATGTTCCTTTTGTACATTTGTCATTTGATCACTTTTGAAAAATGAAATATTGTTTTAACTTAAAGGCATATTTCATACTTAGAGATGCAGTTTCGCTTGATTTTAATTGTGTGAGATGGGTGGTGTCTTGTCATGTTTAGTAGAATTTAAAAAGGAGAGACAGTATTTTTTTCATACTCACATGAACTTACTCCTCTATTTGAATATGGTTGTCTCCCTTTTGAACTATGTCCTCTTCTTGGCTGACTATTTGCGCTCACCGTTCGACTCGGAGGACGTGAAATACACCCTTCAACATAAAATCCATAATGAATGACTCATTTCTATCTTTTTTCGTGACATTCTATAAAATCAATACTTTATTAATGAAAAAAAAACAAAATTTATTAATTTTATCATCTGAGTTTAAAGAATGAGTTCATCGCTTTTTCATAAAATAGAATGACCTCCGTAGACACAGGTATCATAAAGTTTACCGAAACTAACATCGTCAATATTTTTCTTACTATTTGATACAATCTATTTGTTACGTCTGGTTGGTGTGTTTTTCTCCAGGCAGTCGACATTCTTGTGGGAAACAATGTGCCCCTCTTCTTGCCGAATTGATTATTGTTTATTCGCATGAACAACACGTAATGTCTGGGTTTCACGAAAAGAATGAAAATAAACTAGCACTATCTTTTAACTCAACACTGCTCTATATAGATATTGACTTTTGATTGAACAACACAACCTTTGGCGACTATGTTGAGCGCATATGTCCCAATACATTTGAATTATACTATTGTTACAGATAGGTCTGCTTCATACCTTGAGCAACATTTTAGAAACAATAGTTGGGGCATATTTAGAGCCACATCTAGAAACAATAGTTAGGGTCAATTTAGAGCCACATATAGAAACAATAGTTAGGGTCAATTTAGAGCCACACCTAGAAACAATAGTTAGGGTCAATTTAGAGCCACATCTAGAAACCATAGTTAGGGTCAATTTAGAACCACATCTAGAAACCATAGTTAGGGTCAATTTAGAGCCATACCTAGAAACAATAGTTAGGGTCAATTAAGAGCCACATCTAGAAACCATAGTTAGGGTCAATTTAGAACCACATCTAGAAACCATAGTTAGGGTCAATTAAGAGCCACACCTAGAGACCATAGTTAGGGTCAATTTAGAACCACATCTAGAAAGAATAGTTAGGGTCAATTAAGAGCCACACCTAGAAACCATAGTTAGGGTCAATTTAGAGCCACATCTAGAAACCATAGTTAGGGTCAATTTAGAACCACATCTAGAAACCATAGTTAGGGTCAATTTAAATCTGCTGATCATCAGCTTAGTAGTCAGTGCTTCGGTATTGCCATGATTTAAAACATACCTTATTTAAACTTTCCGTTGATAAAGTTATAAATTATTATGAAACTAAGGTTCAGACTCCCTCATGCAAAGTTGACCTTAGATAGATTTGGCTATTATTTTTAGGTACCTTTTGGTCATATAGACTTCACCTGTCTCGTGTCTTTTACATCCTTGTATGCTTTTAAATAATATTTGGCGTTCCTGATGAAGGTAAATCCAGAAAAGTGTTTGGACGCATAAAATTTCTTAAGTGATATTTTAATTTTGTGTTCTTTAACCTGAAAGTTTCTACATTTTTTATAAGGTCGACTCTTCTAAAATTTCATCAGCATATAATAAGCATTGTTAATCCCCAATACATTTATAATTCTTCAATGGACCGAACTCGTATTGAAGATTATATTACAGATGAAAAGAACACAATTAATTAAGTGTGCACATCTCAAATCTGAATATCATCCTCACTGTCTAAAGTAGTGTATAAACATGTTCAAAAAAGGACAAATAAAGATATTTTGAAAAAGAATAAAATTTTCTTACCCGAATTAGTCTGATGGATAGGCGGCAAACGTACAACAGACATAGTAGTTAATGTCCAAAAACATGTTCATGTTCGTTTCCATTAAAACTACCATTTAAGATCACAAAAGATATATTTGAACAGTTTAACACGTTTTGTGTTGAATAAAGACCATCCATGACTTCAGAAAAATAATTGATCTAAGAATATGATATATCCAATATTGACCCTAATCTCTTTGACTTCGTGTACTGCAGTTATTATGTGAGTTTTGTTTGAGTGCTTAATAGGTCATTTCAGTGTTAAACACGATAATTTCTATTGATCTAAACATTTAATTTATGCACACAAGTGCATTTCATATTTATAAATCCATGACTGCCACGATCTTTTAAGAAAGAATGATAAGTAACTTGGATACATAGTCAGATAAGAGTAAGTATGAACGCCAAAATGACCTTATCATAAAAGGCTTATGGTATAAATGCACGAGTAAAGGAACATTGAAATTGATCAGCCTGGATTGTATAAGGAATAAAACCACTAATTTATAGACCCATTGCTTTCTATGTTAAATTCTGCAATGTCTAGCATTCGTAGCTATTTTGTCCTTAGTTCTAATAAAGTGACAGTCATTTCATGTCAAACCTATACCTTACCCTGATTTGTGCTTAAAAAATCAACACACCTTTAATTGCATATTAGAGCGCACTGGTTCCCGGAAGTTTAGAAGTACAAAACCGGTAATTCTGATCTAAACAACAGGGAAAATATGCTCTCCTAAATATTATAAGTTACAGCTATACGTAGGAACTATCAGTTTTTTTAAAAAATATGTTCTACTTCTTTCAGGCCGAGCCCAAATAAGTGGTTTAATACCTTAACAGTCATAACTCGTAAACAGATGAAAACGGTCCAAATCGAGAATTGTCTCTAGCGGCATTATCTACCGCTAAAAAGCCATTTAAACTTCACTTAAATTCACAGTATCACAGTCCCATGTGTGTAAACTTCGATGTTTTAACAACATTATGGCCCATTTCTAAACAGATCAGACACCTAATTATAAGAAAGATATAAGAAGGTGTGGTATGAGTGCCAATGAGACAACTCTCCATCCAAGTCACAATTTGTAAAAGTAAACCATTATAGGTCAAAGCACGGCCTTCAACACGGAGCCTTGGCTCACACCGAACAGCAAGCTATAAAGGGCCCCAAAATGACATAGTGTAAAACCATTCAAACAGGAAAACCAAACCGCAATTTTGTCAGAGTTTGGCAAATTGTGAGTCTTTATAACGTATATAATAAATTAGATCAGCTTAACTGTTTATAATAAATTACATAGTTGATAAGAAACAAAAGATATACAAAAAAGGGAAAATTATTGAAACCATTTATTGACTACTTATACGAGTTTTTGGCTTTAAATGACGACTGTGGATACATTTTAGTTTTTACCCTCATATCATGTACACTTTTATAGGAGTTATTGCCCACTATTTTTGTCAAATTTTAAAATGCTTGCCTTTTATTTTGAAAATTGTTACAGACACTTGTATTGACAAAAACTTTAAACAGCAAAAATGATAAGCAATTCAAGATTCATAAAAATTCGCGGAAAATTTTGTAGATGATGATTTGTGTCCTGAATTAACTATGTATACATCAATATTACTTTTACTAGATAGATAAGTAACTCAGACTCTTTGCATATAGAATCAAAATAAGGAGGTGCTGTAAATTGCCAATAAGACAAGAATCTTCCAGTGACCAAAGGATCATTGGACCTCTTGGTAATTTTCAGCTTAACTGTACATGATTTCATCACTGGTTTAATGCACATAACTACAATAACAACTATTGTTAATGCAAGAGTAACAGGACATAACTTGGGTGTAACAGCTACCAAGGTATCTGATATCTTAAAACCCAGTCTCCAATCATGTATATCAAATAATTGATTTATTGGTTAATGTGCAGTAACTGTAATTTTATGTTAAGAATGGAAGAAGGGATAATATATTTTACATAAGTAGAATAGAGTTTAAGAAAAAAATAATTTGCGAGAAAGTTTGTAGTTTGAAAGCATTTTTTCGTTGGTGGCTAGTCCAGCAAATTATGACTTTTAATTTTATAGATCATTTTTTGACACAGGAATGCGTCAAAACAAAATTAAATTAGCCTTTCAACGCTTTATAATTATTTGGACTATGGCACTCTCCGTGCGTGTTTGAGAGGGGGATTTTTTTTTTACAAAGGGACAATGATCTTTAGTATTATTTTTTGTCCTGAAATTTACTACATCTTTCAACCAAATTAATTTGTAAATAATCATTATACATGTTCCTATCAAGAGAAAACAAAAACAACTGAAGACAAACATATGAACAAGCAAATAGATCTACACTTATTACAATTCTGCGTCTTTCAACATACGGTTTGTTAATACACAACCATAAAATAATAAAATGCGTTCAAAATAATTTTGTGAAAAAATGTGAAATATGAACCAAAAATTTAAAGGTGAAGAATACTTATTGCGTAACACTGTAGGTGTATGCCTATAACATTTAACATATAATATAAGACCGAACATATTTGTATATTCCAAACACAGGCACTTGTCTCTGAAATTTAGTTCCCTATATACCTTAATATAACAATATATATTAAGGTATATAGGAAAACAAATTTCAGAGACAAGTGCCTGTGATTCCAAAGGCATAATGAGTTTTACAGAGAGAACCATGCAACCTCAATAAAACTTGACGTCTAAAAGGAACATTGAGATTACTTTCAGTAACTGTGAGCCTTATTTGACCCATTACGCATGGTTTCTCTTACATCTGTGATTTTATTGTCACTATTGTCGTTATCATTTGATTAAGTGTTTTTAATGCAGTCACCTCTTTTGATATTTCAATTGAGACGAAAGGGTTGCCTCTGCCCGGGGTTGAATGTAGAATACTAAAAAAGTTTAACTACGACATAAATATGTAGAACTTTGAACCGCAATGGTACTCAGAACCGCGTTGGTTTAACGCTGAAGGGCATTTTTGATCACGCTGACGTGCGATGGTGGCATTGTGACGCTATCTGATTGATAGCTTCGTCGAAGTGCGATGGTTGCAACGCTGAAGTGCGATGGACGACATAAACTATATTTTCTTAATTCGATAGGTATATAGTATGACACATGGTTAAGACAATTGTCTAAACTGTACACGGTATACTATAAACTCATTCGGTATAGAGCAAGACACACGAATCAGACACCTGTCTATACTGTAGACGGTATAATAAAAAAACTCGTTCGGTATAGAGCATGACACATGGTTCAAACAATTGTCTAAACTGTACACGGTATACTATAAACTCTGTCGGTTCAGAGCAGGACACATGAATAAGACACTTGTCTATACTGTAGACGGTATAATATAAACTCGTTCGGTATAGAGCATGACACATGGTTTAGACAATTGTCTATAAACTGTACACGGTATACTATAAACTCAGTCGGTATAGAGCAGGACACATGAATAAGACACCTGTCTATACTGTAGACGGTATAATATAAACTCGTTCGGTATAGAGTATGACACATGGTTTAGACATTTGTCTAAACTGTACACGATATTAACTCTATCGATATAGAGCATGACACACGAATCAGACACCTGTCTATACTGTAGACGGTATAATATAAAGTCGTTCGGTATAGAGCATGACACATGGTTCAGACAAATGTTTAAACTGTACACGGTATACTATAAACTCAGTCGGTATAGAGCAGGACACATGAATAAGACACTTGTCTATACTGTAGACGGTATAATATAAACTCGATCGGTATAGAGCAGGACACATGAATAAGACACTTGTCTATACTGTAAACGGTATAATATAAACTCGTTCGGTATAGAGCATGACACATGGTTCAGACAAATGTCTAAACTGTACTCGGTATAATATAAACTCTATCGGTATCTTAATACTCATTCGATTTCAATATCCAGGTATGTGTTTCTAGTATTAAAGTAGCAATCGGTCATAATCTTTGGAAAGAAATTTTCAACCATAGCCTTTTTAAATGTTATTAATGGGATTGGACATGCCCCCCTCCCCCTCAAAGTTGGAGACTTTTCAATTCGTAACTAGGCATTTTCAGTTTACGATAGGGATGGAGAGGGGGTGAAAATATGACTTTTTAAAAGATTTTTTACTGGTAGCTAACACTGTAACTTTAACATTTAAACCTATTTTGTCATAATTATATTTATACAATATTACCATTTGGTTCTCTTTGACCAGTTCCAGGTCGACGTTTTGAAGCCGATGGTTGACGGGACGATGGACGAATGATCGATGGACTGACTTTCAGTGTCCGAAACTCAAGACGTTCTATTTCTTCTGCAAAAGATAATGTAAGGACACATTGTTAGTCAGCCAATAGATTCGTAAAGTGACGTTAAGAGGACACCACAATGTTGATAGATGTCCCTCATCTGGTAAAATATATAAATAACATCAAAACTTTAGCAACAGTGGGAGCCATTTTTAACCCACTTAGTATGAATATGATAATACCTGATCAAGATCCAGATCCATTAGGAGAACAATTTCAAAATCAGCATTAAAGGACAATAAGCCCTATAAGAAGTGAACTTACTATTTCCGAAACTTAAATTTGATTAAGTTTGATTTATTTTGTGCCTTTATTATCTATAATACCGTTATCTTAGCGTTAAGAATTTTTCCTGTATTAATTTTCATCGCATGTTTTGTTAATCCACTGATCAAGACTGAAAAAAGAGAAGGCTTGATATTTAAACAAACTAGTTTAAACCCACCATTACTTCATGTGCCTGATCCTAGTCAGGAACTTCGTCAGCAGTTCGTAGGTCACATATTAATATTTGTTGTTACTTTTCGAGTTTGGTGTATAAGGCTGATCTTAGATTGCTTCTGTGAAATTATTCACAGCTTTTATAGATTCGGGACAATTTAAAAAAAAACAGCTTTATATATTGCACAGTCACTCGTCTATTGTTGAAGACTGTATGTTGTCCTCTAAATGCCTTTTGACGTTGGGTTGCTGTCTAGTTGTGTATATAACACATTTCCATTTATTCATACTTCATTAACTTGCAGATCTTGTCTTTCGGAATAATTTTTGCTGTTAACAGATTCTCTTTACTATTGTGCTCAAGGTATAATACTAACCAAAAATGCCAAAACATAGGTATAGGTAAAAAAGTCAATAATATCTCTTGTAAGGAGTCAATGGAACATTTTGTTCATGCTGACTCATTTGTACATCTCGTCTCATTGATCTTTTCACCGCGTGTATTTATAGTTTTCTTTACCTAGTATAGTTATCAAAATAATCGCAAAAAAATGCAAAAATAAATAAAAACCCTATAGGCGTTTCAGGGCAATAACTCCTAATGGATTGCATTGACAATTTCGACCACGTTTGACTTACTTTGTAATGTAAATATTGTGCTGCTGGTCATTTTTGCCGTTTAAAGATTCTCTCTATCTATTATAATTGTTTAAGGTAAATTCCTAAAGACAAGCAACAGGTCAAAATTTTCAATAAAAAAGGGCATTAGCTCCCACAATGATTCGATGGACAATTTCAACCATTTGACCATTATTCACCGCATACTACCGTATATAAGGTTATTTCGCGTCGGGTTTTGTACACGGTTTGGGCATCAGAAGGCACAGTCAAATATTCGCGGTGTCCATTTTTCGTGTTTGTTTTCCTTGTACTTGTACAATGCATTTAAATGAACAGTGTAATGTTCGCGTAAGGTACTTTTCGCGCTAAATCGTCTACCGCGAAAAAAATGACATTTGACACACGTCAAAATGTCTCGATATGCGGCACATTCGTTAAATGTTTACTAGTACCCAAGTTTTGTCGATAATGACCCGATGGTTTCAAGGGAGATTAAAAAAAAAGTACGATGACGGACGATAATAATTAAGTGTTAGCTATAACATATAAAAGGAGCTTAAAAGTAATATACATTTTTTTTAAATAATTCCTTTGAATATACCCAGAGTATATTATTATACATCGTTTTTCCCCATTTATTTAAATGTTAGTGGGTTAGTTAAGTGTGATTCGTAGACATCTACATGTGCACTTAGGAATTCTTTATTTTCCAATTCAATAGGGTAGATGGGTACACATTAATTATTATAAACCGTTAGATAAAATACACGTTTCATGCGTCAATGTACTACACGACACCTGTGAATGGAAATACCTTTAAGAGGTATGCTCGCCATGAAACTCGATCAATCAAATGCAGACTTATTTTTTGTCATTACATAACAAAAGGGCATTATCAGAAGAACAGAAAAGTCTACCTCTACTTTGCCTAAATAACTTTCAAGCTGTGCATTAGCAAAATGATATTGTTTAAAACTGATCTTTTTTTGGTTATCAAAACGTATCATTTAAATCAGCCATAGGTCAAGACCAAAGCACTACTAGCCACATGGTCATGACGATTTCTATGGAATGTGCAGCGGTACCGACTCAGTGGTGGTAATTGAATGTATGATACTGATTGCCGTATGCACGGCATTTTTTCCCTGGAATAACCTTCATCAGCTACGCTAGACAATAAACTTTTTGGAATTCACATATATAAAAAGTTTTTGGAACTTCAAATTTGAAAGGACCTATGAACAGTTTCAGCACAACAACATGGTCAGCTTTGACAAAAGGAGTTGTAACCTTATAGTTTATTGTTGGTCAGCTTTGACAAAAGGAGTTGTAACCTTATAGTTTGTTGTTGGTCAGTTTTGACAAAAGGAGTTGTAACCTTATAGTTTATTGTTGGTCAGCTTTGACAAAAGGAGTTGTAACCTTATAGTTTGTTGTTGGTCAGTTTTGACAAAAGGAGATGTAACCTTATAGTTTGTTGTTGGTCAGCTTTGACAAAAGGAGTTGTAACCCTATAGTTTGTTGTTGGTCAGCTTTGACAAAAGGAGTTGTAACCTTATAGTTTGTTGTTGGTCAGCTTTGACAAAAGGAGTTGTAACCTTATAGTTTGTTGTTGGTCAGCTTTGACAAAAGGAGTTGTAACCTTATAGTTTGTTGTTGGTCAGCTTTGACAAAAGGAGTTGTAACCTTATAGTTTGTTGTTGGTCAGCTTTGACAAAAGGAGTTGTAACCTTATAGTTTGTTGTTGGTCAGCTTTGACAAAAGGAGTTGTAACCTTATAGTTTGTTGTTGGTCACCTTTTGACAAAAGGAGTTGCAACCTTATAGTTTGTTGTTGGTCAGCTTTGACAAAAGGAGTTGTAACCTTATAGTTTAATGTATGACAGCGCAAAGTCAAGATAAACACTACTTTTTGAGAAACTGACTTTTTATTCATGGACTGTAGAGGTATATTGTGGATTGTTGGTGATCAGCTGAGACCCCACATCTCCTTTTATCATATTCGATTATTGTAATTATCAAAGAGCTAATTCAGCATTGATCAGTTAAGTCTTTAACACCCATGAGACAGAGGAATTCGTATTATATATGGTGTAACCCTTGGACTACAAACCTTTTGACCTCTTGAAAGTAATTACATTTGTGTTATTGTTCAGCAAACATTGATTTAAAATTATGTGGTATTAGCCTTTTTAAAGATAGATTGGTTAAAACCATATGCTAATTGAAATAAGATGACTTATGAAGTATAAAAACAGTTTTCAATGTTTATAGCTATTAAATGAGCATTTTATGAAAACACACGACAGTTATAACTACAAAACCTTAATAACACTTCATAAATTCAATGCGTCAAAGCGTGGAGCTAATATACCAAAGGGAACATTAAAAAAAAAGGATAGTCAAAAATCATACAGCCTGTTTGCCTGGGAGATTTGAAACCTTACAATAAGTTTGTGCATTATTTCAAAATTTATCAACTGAGAATTTCAGAAAGTGAAAAATAAGAATAGAGGGGCATCATATATATTAGCAACTGTTATTTTGATATCGCATGGATAAGAGCAAAAGCATATTAAATAAGTTAATATAAGTTAAAAATAAAAGAGTATTTACTAAAATAATAAAAAAAACAAAAACAATCAAGAATTGAAAAAGGGGGTCGATGCACTAAATGCCTGTGGATTCAAAGTCTCCATGGAATTGTAGCTCTTATAAACCCGTTTTTAAAGCGGGATATATAAGGACAAATATTGATCACTCTTGCAATAACTGAAAACTGAATGATAAAATGTTAAACAAATACAAACGAGAAACCCAACGTCCTTATTTATGGTAAAACAATAAACGAAAAACAAATATTGCAGATAGCGACAAACTACAACATCTGAATTACAGGCTCCTAACTTGGGACAGGCAAATAAAGAAAGTGGCGGGGTTAAACAAGTTTGTGAGTGCTTAACGCTGCCTGGGACAGTTGTGTAACAACAAAGCATAAGACCAAACTGTAAAAAGCCTGACTCGTCAGATCGGCATAAAAAAAAACTCATAACAAAATGAAAAAAAAACTTGAAGTACCGATCATAGAGTAGTTCTTGCATGTCTAGTAGTCGTGTGACAAAGTCAATGTGTCCTTAGTCGTCGTTTAAACTGGACACCATTCACTTATCACTACACTAACCGGAAAGGACTTGCAGGAAAATACGGATGTTGTTTTTAAGAAATTTACTGTCATAAATCATAATTAATCATTTTAATTTAAAGCAGAAATGTATCTCCGCGTGTACAGCGGATTCCTTTTCTGGGAACTTTCGGATACATCAGCCCATCAAAATCTGTATAATATTACATTTGAGATTTTGGTCTCAAAAATCCCCGAAGAGACATTAACATTCGGAGCGGAGCTTTAGGTTAAAGTCGTCATCAATCACAAAATCTTTAAATTTCACCACCACCTCGGAAAAAGAGTGTGTTTTTAAATGTAGAAAGTATTGTGTGAACACGAGAGAGTGTTGACCACTTGGCGGGGGACCAATGAGTAATCGATATCCATCAGTTTATCAATTTTAACGGTATGTCACATTCAACTTAAACGATGACGAAGGCTTAAAATTTGTCAAAGCAATTTGCTTGCTTATGGATGCCTTTAGTCATACATAGAGAAAATGATAGTAGATATAATGAGGAAAACAATAAGACATCGGAAGACAACAAAAGAAATAGCTTTATCTGAAATTCATAGTAAATGGTGACATATATGGCTGGTTCTCGTGGGGATAGCCACACATTGCGGTGACATCATTTACAGATTTGACAGATTTGATGATTAATTGATTGATTGACTACGGTCATTGATTATATCCCGTCGAGAACATATTAAATTAGAATGCAGGAAAAAGAGTCATCATAAAGATAAAACAATGTTACTATTCAGATATAAAACAAAAGCCCATTGTAAAAACAAACTTTAAAAGAATTTTTAAATAACTCTTCACTGGTGACATTTCAAACTACAAGTTTATCGAGACATTTTAAGCAAAGTCGGGGTAGTTATTTCACTAATTTCGAATGTTTATCATATAACCGTATGTTTGGCAGATGGTATACACGCGATATGCAGCTATGTCTACGATTTTAGTATCTAGTCTTGTCATTACATGAGTAAGAATAAATCTTTTTTTTATTATGTATTCTCTTCTTTTGGATGAAATACACTAGTGTAGAAATTCCCTGATGTATTTTCAATAGGGTTTCATTTCTGACGGATTGAACACACTATTGTAAAGAAAGAATACACTATTGCATTGCATGTACCGGAAATTCGACGAAAGTACGGTTACACGTGTACCCTTGAACACACAAATTAACAAAAACAGGTTGTACGTACCTTCTGCTCTGTGTAAACCACACTGTTTGAGGGCAGAAACTAGTTTGTCTTTAGTCGCAGACTTTCCAACATGTTCGTACCACAAACTCAGACCTTTAAATGCTAGATGTGCTTTTGATGCATGATATTCATGGGCTTCTAACTGGGCCAATTCTATTTCCTGTATGCCCAGCTTCCGACAGACTTCTTTCCATTGTCTTATAATGTAAGGGCATATTTGTCGAAATATTTCACGAATATCTAAAAACGAAAATGACAAGTAAGCACAATTTTGAAAAGCTTCACAACAACATTATAAAAACCTCTCAATGTTCGGTTCTTTATTACTTTAACAGCAACCCAAATTGTTAGCTGCATCACTGGGGTAAAACTTTAAACCACAGGCACACCAACCCAAAATTTGAATTTCTTAGTTAAACCTCAAATTTTCCTTCAATTTGGAGTACTCAAAGAGACGTTTCTTTTTTAAAGTCCAACTTACCTGGCGAATACCAAGCTTTACCAAAAACTACGATTATAAATCATGAATAAAATAAATCAAATGCGCTCTGCGTCCAATCATTCTGTACTAAGTATTATTGATACTAATGTAAGAAATGAATAAAACTAATTAAAATAATAACAATAACTATTTGCGGATTATTTACAAACAAATTAATCTGATTAAGAACAAGTAGAAAGTATTTATTTCCCCTAGGTCGGTTATTGCCTTAATTTGATATTTTTTCAATTGATGTAAATATGCCCCCGAGCGTTTTAAATGCTCGTAGAGTAATCTATTTAATATTTGAAGAAAAGAAAATTGCTCGACTACTTATAACATTTTTTTCTTTTTAATTTCAATACTTTCAAAAGAAATAAAAATGTCGTAATTTTAATAGTCACTTTATCCCCAATATCACTTGACCTATATCACAATTAAAATCTGTAAGAAAAATATTTTTCATGTATGTTATATGGTATTTACCACTCTAGTTATTCTTCAGTTAAGATCTTTTTGTAGATAAACTATTCGGGTTTGTTATAAACCTCCATGGCCACAAAGCAAGGGGATTCGGAATAAGTATTTTTTATGTGTACCTACCTCTACGTCAATACATATAAGTAAATACAAATATACGCAATAAAAAAAACAAGATCATATACATTATCGATTAATGCTTGATATTTTACTTTATAGCACGAGAATTACAAAAATGACTAATAAATGTCTGCATTTTAAAGTTAATGTACAAAAATGTTTAATAAATGTCTGCATTTTAAAGTTAAAGTACAAAATGACTAATAAATGTCTGCATTTTAAGTTTAATGTACTTACCATCAACTTCAACACATATCTCATTTGTAGATGATGCCATTTCAATTGATCAAAAAATTCCATAAATTCAAGTTAAATCACTCTATATACTGCATGTGAAAATCTCATACATGCACAATGTATATCCATAATCTATTGGAAATTGTCAATTGTTACCGCAAAAAGTTCGTGTTTAAACGGAGAAATCTTATTTACTACGCCAAATTCTGTCAAATCGTTATAGAATTAAATGATCCTTGTAAAATGACTTTTCAAAACCATTTGCCGGAAAAGTGAAAAAAATAGAAAAGACAATTTACTGCATTTCTCCATGATAGTAAATCGGTGAACTAAAATGACTTATCTCGAATAATGACATTTAACAAAAGTCACCTTATTCCTATTTAAATATAAGTAATAAATAAAACCTTGAATAAATTATTATTTTCGATCTAATTTTTATAGCAGTGTCAAAAACTATTTATCTTATGATCAAATTACTACAACTGACAAACAACCAGATCGTTTACAAGGCGTGAAACATTTGAAGTTCAGTTTACTTATAAACAATTAAGTTAACTTCTAAACAATTACTTTTATGATTTACTTTCGGACGTAAATTCGGAATGATTTTCCAATATAAATATTGACCTAATGTTTAACGATTGATTCCTTCGTTGCTTTTGATCGAATTGATTTATTTCATTAACAAAAGTTTCTTGAGCTTTATTTGCCATCGCCTATAAATACTAACAATCTATAAAATATAAAAATATTAGAGACTTTTCCACTATATGTTTTTTTCCAACAAATTTAAAGGCCAATCAAATTTCGTACAAAAATTCGATCAAACTTGAAACACATAATTTTATTCAACGATTTACATTACTACATTCATATTTTAACTTTTTTTGTGTAAAAGCCGTATCTATAACTTTTAGACTAGGAGGAACCTGTTATTTAATATCTTCTTATCTTAATACTCGTACGATTTCAATAACCAGGTTTGAGTTTGTATCTACTTAAAGTAGAGATCGGTTATAAACTTTGGAGCGAAATACTTAACTTTGCTTTTTTAATGTTATTAATGGGCGTAGACATACACCCATCAAAGTTGGAGAGGTTTTCATTCGTTACAAGGCTTTTTATCTAGAAGGGGATGGGGAGGAGGGGGTGTGACAATTTGACTTTTTAAAAGATTTTTAACTGGTACCTTAAACACTGATATTTTCACATTCAAAATTGTTTATTCCTTTACACCTAAAGTTACTGCCAAATCATTGGTTTCTTATTCAGATGACTTAATTAGTTTTTCAAATAAAAACCAGTCAATCAATAAATAAATACAAGAAATGGTAGTAACAAAGATGGCACATTTTTTTTTAATCAACGTTAAACAGGGATAATATCTATCATGTCGTTTTTTTACGTTTCCAGCCGAAAAATTATTCACGACAAAGATAAGGCAGATCTATAGATTAACCTGCAATTCAGTCCTTTAATTTATTGCTCGATAATATTTACGTTGAAGATTATTTTTTTTTAATAAATCATTATGGGAAAACTTCAAGTATTCACTGGATGGATTGATTAATTGATTGTTGGTTACTTAACGTCTCGTGGCAAATAATTCACGCATGTTTGGGCGATCCACAGAATGGACGTCACTCGTATATAATGCATCTTCAATGAAATTCTATGCGACTGTCATACAAGTGAGAGGTTTAGCTAGCTATTAAACCAGGTTTAATCCACCATTTTCTACATAAGGAAATTCCTGTAGTGTACCAAGTCAGGACAATGACAGTTGATTTCCATGCGTTTGATGTGTTTGAGCTTCCGTTTGGAATCGGTATTTTTGTTATTTTACTTTTTTCAACAACGAGTTATCTTCCTTTTACTGGGAAAATTGTAATAAGTTGTGTTACGTTAATGAACAACTAGTGACTGATAAAAAATTTAACGTTATATGCCAATCTTAACATATCTTAAAACAAAATTAGATTCAGTTAAATTTCCTTCAAAATCAGTCCCTACATTTCAGATAAATACAATTGTTATGAATCACAGTTTATGACCAAACTCAGTAAAGACCCGTCTTAATTTCATTTAATTGATAAATTCAACAACACTTACCGTTATCATGATGATGTGTTTTCGTTGAATAATAAAGAATTCTCTAATATACTGCCAATATTTACCCAAAGGAACTTACTTGAAATTAATCAAATATAAACAGCAATAATTGTCCTTTTCTAGATTTAGATATCTCAGTTTTACACGGGATGCTTTACGCAAAAAATTACAACAAAAGATTTTTCGTTCCCTATTGTAAATATTCCCTTTTTGGACGTTGATTTTTCTTTGGCACCATCTTGCGATGTATATATCCTAACTCGTTCGCTATGCCCAAGTCTGTTGTGGCTTTTTGGATTTCAATGATCATTCTATGTATTACTGGTAAATTATTAAGTCATGGATTTCGTTAGTTTACCACAGATTACTCTAAACATTTACTGAATTCTTTCATAAGTACAATGGTTTGGTTTAAAGTTTGGCTGACCCTTCTTGCAAACGGGATAGCACATCTTATTTTTTTTCGGTGATGTTGTTTACTGAGTCCGTAAATTAAGATACGATCCGGGTAAACTTAGCGATCCTTTAAACAAAATTATCCCAAACGGTTACCAATTCAACATTATAATAAGATCTTTGAATATTGTTTTTATCGGTTTAAATATTGAATTTTGTATTAATGAATTAAAAACCAACCAAATATTATTGTTCTACACACATGTACATTCACGGTCCTGCAATCTGTCGATACCTTATTTAGGCATTGCACAAGGTTATGTTTTCCTCTGACTTTTAAAGACGTCTTTACACTAAATTCAGTGGATGTTGGGTATGTGCTGATTGATTCTTTAGTCTTAGATCCATGATTTTTTTATTAGTTGTTATTGGCTTTGAACTTTAGCTTTCAGTAACTGCAAGTACTCTAAGATATGTACTTAGTGTGCTTTTGTTAGTTTTTTGTGTGCTTTGTATCAATCTGATGAGCCAATGAGACAACTCTCCACAAGAGACCAAATTAAGTTCTTTTCAACTGAGTTTTATAGTTTTTATTTTATGTTGTACTGTTACACTACTGTCTCAGGCTAGGTGGAGGGTTTGGTGCTAGCAAACATATTAAACTCAGATATACACATTATGGATATGCCTGTCCTAAGTCAGGAGCTTGAAATGCAATGGTAGTCGTTTTTTCTTTTCTTTTATTGTTTGGTACATAAATCAGGCTGTTAGTTTTCTCGTTTGAATTGTTTTATATTTGTCATTTCGGGGCCTGATTAAAATACAGATCCAATGTCAAAGCTTCTTGTGTCAAATCTTTGACACAGGATCTGCATTTTAATCAGATTGTTTTATATATATATATATATATATATATAGGTTATTATGTGGTACGGGTTTTGCTTATTGTTAAGTGTGGAATATGAAGCAGAAAAAAAGGCTGTTGTTTGATTGACTGATTATTGTTTGCGTTCAGTGACAAATATTTTATGCTTATCATTTAGGATAATAAATCAAATAGGTATGTTCTGCAATGGATTGATCGGATAAAGGACAAGAATTCTGACTGCCGCTTGAAAAGAAGGTATGTTGGATAGGAACAGATGTTACCTTCAAATAGGCCACCTTTGAAGAAGAGTTCTTACCGTTCATAGAGCGTAGCGTTTTTCTTATTGATGTCCCTATTCAGAAAGAATGCAATGCAAAGATACGACACAAGTGTAAGTTGAAATACATGCAAAGCACTACTAACTAAGCTACACATCTAAACATGCCAAAACAAACGGAAGCATAACTAAAATTAAAGCACAACTAAAATTTCAGCTTCTGGAGGGCGGTAGCCCCTAGACCCCCTGCTTACAAATTATTAGCCTTTCAAGAGTCATAGTTATTTCTGGAGGGCGGTAGCCCCTAGATCCCCTGCTTACAATTTATTAGCCTTTCAAGACGTCATAGTTATTTCTGGAGGGCGGTAGCCCCTAGACCCCATGCTTACAATTTATTAGCCTTTCAAGACGTCATAGCTATTTGGTCCAAATAAACTATGACGCCTTGAAAGGCTTATAAATTGTAAGCAGGGGGTCTAGGGTGAGGGGGATACCGCCCTCAGTCCAGAAACTGAACGATTATAGTAAAATTATTATTGGAAAAAAATGATTTATTAAATTATTTGTAAGCACATGTTGGTTTGGGTTTCGTGTGGTGTAATGTTTACTTGCGACAAGACTTTCGGCTTCGAAATAATTATCTAAGGGCTTTTCATATAACACTTTTACAGTAAGTAATGGGAACTTTATTGACTTTATCATATATGTCATATATTTCTGATAAGTTTTCCTACCTATTCACATATTTTCAAGCTGGAAAATGTGACCTATTCCAGAGTCACGTCCTCATAGCATCTTGTATAAGTGGCCCCTCCGAGCGTTTAAGAGTAGCCTAAGACCAAAATACCATGTTGATGTGCGCGACAACGTCATGTGATTTAATTTCAGTTATGACGTCACTCAAGCCCGCTGACGTTTACACGTGACATAAACAGACAAAATGGCTGACGAAGTTGATCTCGGTTTGAAAGACTCAAAGAAAACAAATTCAGATAAAACAAAAGGTAACTAGTTATACTGCTGAATTAAGCAACTTCCATATTAAAATTCTTCGCAGCCAGACACTTCGTCCTGAAAGTCCGTAAATTTAACGTTTTGTTACGAACTGTAATTGTAGAAGAGAAGCCAAAGAAGCCAAAGAGACATTCAAACTCACAACTTAGACACAAGTCGAAAATAAACTGATAACGCCATGGCATAAACAAAAAAGACCAAAAGACAAACAACAGTATACAAAACACAACATAGAAAACTAAAGACTGAGCAATACGAACAAAAACTGGGGTGATCTTAAGTGCTCCGGAAGGGTAAGCATGTCGCATGTGACACCCGTCGTGTTGCTCATGTATCCTCGTATTATGGGTTTTCGTGCTATTAAGAATGCATTGTGACGTCACAATTTCCATTGAAAAAGTATGCATAGTACGAATTCATATATCGTACGAAAACATATGATCTGACCATACGTACCAACCCGATGATAAGTCTAATTCAGTAGGTCACATTGGAGGAAAAGAGAACGGAATATGTGGTTACGAAAAAATGGAACATATCCGTCGTCATCTGTGAAACAGATTATTCCATAACTGTCAACCAACTCGTGATTGCGTCAACTTACCTTATACCGGAAAGAATGAAATTTTACTGGACTTGATGGTATCATAAGTATTTATCACCTACAGTTTTTTCCTATATACATGTACCTAATTTAACACATTTTTCTAAACTTATTTTAAAGGCGTTTCTTTTTGCAGTTATACAAACCTGGCGTTGAATTTGTTTAGCGATTTGTTTGTCTTCAGTTATTTTTGTTGTCCCCTGATCTATCTGATGTAAACAGACTGATCATCATTTACGATTTTATTTTCCGACAATGCAACAACAAAAAATGTGCTTTAAATCATCAGAAAATTAAAAAAAAGCCTACTAACAAAATTTTAACCAAATAAATATGGTGTGACAATTCTTTTCTAGTCATTATGGGGAACAAGTTGATTAAAATTCGATCAGAAATTAACTTACAATAAATGTGGTTTTATATGAAATACATAGCGAAAAATCGCAAATAATTTACTTTGTTCATGGACTACTGTAAAAAATCCAAAGGTACAAACATTGAATTTCGAATTTAAAAATAGATCATTAGGGGTTAAAGATTTTAACCCTGAAAACATCGACGTGTCTATAGAATTAACGTCGTGTTGTGCTAAGGTAGCACTCGACAGATAGAAAATAAAATTAACATTGAACCACAAAATGTTTAATGATCTTCTATTCCTGGCTTTATAATACATTCAGCAAACTGTTTGTGTCATACATGTGCATATGTAATCAGTATCTTCCATAGATTTGATTTTCAAAAGTTAAAATGGTGAAACATAATTCCTTGTTTGTGTATCCATGGCAACATTCTGCATTTATTTACCATAAAATATTGCAAAAAGGGGGGTGAAAAAATCACATATTCCCCTCAAAATTTGGTTCAAACTAGAATTTCAATCCCTTTGAGTGATACATTTTCTGCAACTATTGACACTTATCAACCAAATGAGCAAATAAAAATTTGGTGTCTTTCGCCTCATTTTTTACAGAAAATAGCCCATAATAGATACATTACACAATCTTGATGTTCCTATATATCCACTATGAAGGCTATATTAATCTTCAGCTATCCAAAAACGAATTTTATTGCACACTAGCTTTAATATTTGAAAACTCCATAGGGGCCAAAATGCGAAACTACACACCTTACTGTGGAGTTCTACCTAAGAGTTTCTGAAAACGTCGTCAAACTGCCTTTTCTGCCGTTAGATTTGTCATTATATATGACACACTATACCGTCATTCATTTCAATTTGAAGAATCCTATCAAAATACATGTTATAATATTTAGTATTCAAGTATATACAATGTGAATAAAATATAAGAAGATTCTAATATGCATATGATCCTTATTATGAAAAAAAGATAAGCCTACTCGCCCAATGAATGTACGACTCAAGGCATCAAAATAGTTGAAAACACTATCTGAGATCCAGGTTAATGTGGATCCTTCGAATATCTGAAGTTTAAACGAAATATACTTTCCCAGGCTGCAAGATGATAACTAAATGTTTTGCATGCAAGATATTTTTCAGTTTTCTGGAGGGTTTCCATTTCCTTATTTTTTTTAATGTTCATTGAAAATGATTTATGAAGCATGAAATTAAACATGTACACGTAGAACGAATAGCATTTTTGCAATATCTATTATGACGAAGCGAAAAATTGAATCACGGACAAAATTATTTCAATATTCCTTTCAGATTAGGTGTGTTTGAATAATAAAATAACCGTGAGCTTCTATAATTATAAGAACAAAGAAAGTGCATTTCTTTATGTAAATTTCTTTTCTTTTCTTCGGCTCATTATCAAAGTAAAACTTATAGTTTTCTTATGATAATGTACTAAACAAGAGTGCACTCGCTGAAATGTCTCGCCTGCTTTACTGACCATTGATTCTATGTTGAAAGTCTTAAAGATAAAGGTTTTACTAAAAGCATTACAGAAACTTAACATTTTTTAAAAATCTATGACAATGAGGTCAAGGTCAGATAAAGTGTGTCAGACAGACATTGAGAAATTGACACGACAAAAAGCTCAATTATTTTTCAAGCAGTCACCGAACCATGAAAATGAGGTTAAGGACAATGGACATATTATCGACGGAATCTTCGTAACATAAGGTATCTGCATACAAGATATGAAACATCCAGGTCTTCTACCTTCTGAAATATAAAGCTTTATACAAATAGTTTACGCCGCCGCCCCCGCCGGATAGTAATAAATGTCTCGCATACTGCGACTTTCGTCGCAGGCGAGACAAAAATTGAGAAAAGTTGTGCACACTGGTCCTGCCCCCTTTCCCCCTCAAACTTTTGGCAAACATCTTTGACGCCTGACTGATAATCTAGCAATATGTATGCAATATTTGTCACTGGACTTGCGTGTTTTTGTGCATTTATAACTGTACATTTGAAAGGAGGAGTTTGTTATCGTTTACCTATGTATTTATCTTTCAGGGTATCTCGTCATAGACTACGGAGAAAAAATCAAAGCAGATTTTAAGTTTTCACAAGAACAAATTCAACGTCAGGTACGTGAATGAAGATGTTGACAGTAGCGTGATAACCGGTAAAACCGTCAGTGGTTGTCGTTGTTTTAAACTGTGTTTGTAAATTTAGGAATGTTGTCAATCTTTTGGTATTTAAGAGTTTTTTAAATTCATTTGTAAGATATAAAGTCAAGAAGATACTTTTTTGTGGTGAGAGGGGGTGGCTTGTGTGTAGTTTACATTAAGGAAATCAAGGCAGGTGCTACGATAAAATAAATCACACATTTGCAAACGCTGGGTAAGTAAAATCTGGATCCGATTCCATCGGAGCATAATCCCACTCACCTCCCCCCCCCCCCCCCCCCCCGATAGTATTTTTCGGATCGAAATACCCGCTGTGGTTTAGACTGATAAGACTGATCTCCTAATGATGAATCTTTCAAATTGTACTGCAGAAGTAACACCAAACCATCAAATCATTAGGTATTAAATTATTCCCAAAATACAGTCGAAATGAAAATAATTGATTTGAATATATGTATATGGTTACCTGTTCTTTTTCCGTCCAACAGTAAGTTTCTGATGGACAGTTGTCTCATTGGCAATCATAACACATCTTTTTTTCTTATTTTTATAATTAAGACCAACGCTGAGGTGGCACCCATTTTTCTGGGCTGGATGTTAATTTAACACTGTGTAGCATCACCACCGGATACAGGTCGAAATCAAATGATGACGTTAGATTCAACAGTCCGTGTTGAGAGAATGTTATGCTCCCTGTACGCTAACGAACCCTTGTACCAGCTCTTTGAGGTACACGTAGGGAGCCTAATTTATGGCACATATGCATCTTGCCAACATATCTTTAATGGCAGTCCAAACTTACCGCTCTCCATCTTCGCAGAATCTATTTAGTAACGTAGATTTAGGTGAATTATTTGTCAACATAAATATGCATTAAATGTCATTCTATGTTAGAAAACCCACAGGCAACTAATCAAACAAAATGCAGACAAGCAAGCACAATCAGTCCAACATTCAGTTAGATCATGGAAGTAATATTTAAAAGGAATAACAACGACTAATTAGCATGTATTAACAGCCTGCAGAACTCTGTACTAAAGTCATATGATTTTATCCAATTATAGTCTCAGCGGCAAGACCCCTTTGGTTACTATCTGTGATACCGCGGTTGTAAAATGGCATCTGGAATTTCTTATCAGTCACGTGATTTTATCGAGTCCGGTAATTATAAAGCACCTGTGTGAAATCCGAGGTTAATTAATAAGCAGGTGGCGCTGTATCATATAAAACCTCTACCTTCAGAAAGAAGTCGTATGATGTAAAAAACTTGAAAAACGGACGAGAATTGTTCAACCTACAACAGTTTAGCATGGAAAATTGTATTTAATTTAGCATATTTTTGCTTTTTACCGTTTGTTTTAAACTGTTCTAAAAGTATTTTCCGGTTAAAAGCGGATCCCGAGTAAAACAGTTAAATACCGATGAATCGAACAGGTTTCACATGATGTTGAACAAAATAATGTAGACAGATGTAGACATAGAATATTTTACTGTTGAAATGTGCCTAGTTTATCGAGATTTATAAAAATATTTACTTTCAAGTAATTGATTACATTATTGAAACTGGACAATTAAAATCGGGATCATAAGTTCGTAAACATGTTAAATTTATATCTATTTTAAAAAAGTGTTTACAATTGAATACTAATATTAATGTAGCACGTTACAGCAAAAAGAAAATCAACCATACAAAACGAGCTTGACGCTATCTGTCTAACCGCAAATTTATTTTATATGAATTTGTTTATGTACAAATTAAAGAATAGAAACGTTTAAAATTGTGAATATTTAATTTGCCTGGTATACACGGAAGACTTGGATTATTCGTATTTGATAAAAGGTCGTCGAAACATATTTTTTGTACAATCATCTTCTTAACTTTCAGAAATGGCTTCTTAATTAACTGGTTTTAAGTATTAAAATTGAAAATGATCCACCCTTTTTCTTAAATTCAATATGTGATAACTGTCGGCCTAAACTATTAAGATCGAAAAAGACATAAATAGGAAAAATAGACTAAAATCAACATTGAATGACTGACTCTATTCGGTAGCGTACAGCAGCGGAATGTAACGAGTGAACTATTCGGGTTACTTCGTACGTACATACGACAACAACTGGTCTATTCGTAATTTTCCGGGAACACGAAAATGACCGAAAAGTGTCAGTGATTTGATCTATCACATGCCGAGAGTCAATTACCATGCCATATATTAAACCAATTAACGAGTTATCGAAAGATGGGCGGTAACGCAGATGAAGCCTTTGAAGTGACGACGTCGTTATTCCTTTCAATATTACTTCCATGGTTAGATTAAGGTTGAAATGCAAAGCATCTTCAAATTCCTTGTTATGATCAGAACTGAAAATGACATTTCTGTAAACCTTTTAATTTTTGGTACGTTATAAGTGTTTGAGTGTGCAGGAGGGGATACATCACCGAATATCTTATTTCGAAAGGTGGAATTTATCAAGATGTATACCTTTGTCTTAACTAAGTATCGTATATTTCAATGTTAATAGAAATCTTTCTTCCAACCATTCGGCTGCACACCATACCCTGATGAGATAAAACCAATTGCACCTACAATGTGTTTCAGTCTTATTAAAACTAGTTCCTAATATAAACAACTATATCGACAATTTTTGAAAATCCAACAAATGGCAAAAAAGTCTAAGGAATTCGTAAAATGGATAATTATGGAAGCCAATGTCCTAACTTGAGTGATTTGTTGATTTTCAGGTGGAACACTTGCAAAGGGAAATCTCTTTGTTATGGGAGATAATCCGCGACCTAATGATTTTGTTTGGACCAATGGTAGTAGGATGGATGGGATATTTCCTTTCTAGAATGCTGCTTTCACGAATGTGGGAGGTAAATAATATTATTTTTCAAATAACGTTGAGATGGTGATAATTGTAAGCTTACCTGGGCTATCAGGCCAGGCGAGCAATTGTCACCACCTGGCGTCCGTCGTCCGTTATCAGTAAAACTCAATTGATCGATTTTGACCAAACTTAAAACAAACAATACTCTTAAAACTTTCCTAATTTGGTTCTGATCGGAAAAACATGAGGCAATCATTGATTATGCGTGGTCTAATTTAAAAACAAAGAGGTGAGCGATTCAAGCTCATTGGTGCTATTAGTTCATATCATGGAAGTAATATTTAAAAGGAATAACAACGACTAATTAGCATGTATTAACAGCCTGCAGAACTCTGTACTAAAGTCATATGATTTTATCCAATTATAGTCTCAGCGGCAAGACCCCTTTGGTTACTATCTGTGATACCGCGGTTGTAAAATGGCATCTGGAATTTCTTATCAGTCACGTGATTTTATCGAGTCCGGTAATTATAAAGCACCTGTGTGAAATCCGAGGTTAATTAATAAGCAGGTGGCGCTGTATCATATAAAACCTCTACCTTCAGAAAGAAGTCGTATGATGTAAAAAACTTGAAAAACGGACGAGAATTGTTCAACCTACAACAGTTTAGCATGGAAAATTGTATTTAATTTAGCATATTTTTGCTTTTTACCGTTTGTTTTAAACTGTTCTAAAAGTATTTTCCGGTTAAAAGCGGATCCCGAGTAAAACAGTTAAATACCGATGAATCGAACAGGTTTCACATGATGTTGAACAAAATAATGTAGACAGATGTAGACATAGAATATTTTACTGTTGAAATGTGCCTAGTTTATCGAGATTTATAAAAATATTTACTTTCAAGTAATTGATTACGTTATTGAAACTGGACAATTAAAATCGGGATCATAAGTTCGTAAACATGTTAAATTTATATCTATTTTAAAAAAGTGTTTACAATTGAATACTAATATTAATGTAGCACGTTACAGCAAAAAGAAAATCAACCATACAAAACGAGCTTGACGCTATCTGTCTAACCGCAAATTTATTTTATATGAATTTGTTTATGTACAAATTAAAGAATAGAAACGTTTAAAATTGTGAATATTTAATTTGCCTGGTATACACGGAAGACTTGGATTATTCGTATTTGATAAAAGGTCGTCGAAACATATTTTTTGTACAATCATCTTCTTAACTTTCAGAAATGGCTTCTTAATTAACTGGTTTTAAGTATTAAAATTGAAAATGATCCACCCTTTTTCTTAAATTCAATATGTGATAACTGTCGGCCTAAACTATTAAGATCGAAAAAGACATAAATAGGAAAAATAGACTAAAATCAACATTGAATGACTGACTCTATTCGGTAGCGTACAGCAGCGGAATGTAACGAGTGAACTATTCGGGTTACTTCGTACGTACATACGACAACAACTGGTCTATTCGTAATTTTCCGGGAACACGAAAATGACCGAAAAGTGTCAGTGATTTGATCTATCACATGCCGAGAGTCAATTACCATGCCATATATTAAACCAATTAACGAGTTATCGAAAGATGGGCGGTAACGCAGATGAAGCCTTTGAAGTGACGACGTCGTTATTCCTTTCAATATTACTTCCATGTTCATATCTACGATAAAAGGTTCTGTGAACAGCTTTAGGTCATTTTTACACTAATCCAATTTATTGTGAGTGTTGGCGTATGTCTGTTGGTGTGTGTGTGCGTGCGTACGAGATAAAGAGATTTGTACATCTGATTGAAATACATTCTTTTCCCGAGGAGAAAAGACTGGTAAAAACAAAATTAAAAAACAAAAAATCCGGATATTAAAATGGTTGAGTTCGTCGGGCAGCTGCCAACAGTTTCCGTGCAATACTTTATGAACTTTTCAATTAATGCTCTTTACTTTTGCCGCTCAGGAATTATGGTCCTTGATAGATTGGAAAATAACACTTTATTTCGTTTCCGTGCAATAAGTAATGATTAGTTCCACCAATTAATTTTTAAATTTTAATATGTTGTTATTGATGACATAATTAATTTTGAATTTCAGGGGCTTTTTGTTGCCTTCAACAGCTTTTTAATGTCAGCCTGCCTTATTTTGTTCATGACACCACTGAATGAATCACTTGTCAGATTAATGGCTGCTTTTGATGAATTCAAGGATTTGCAATCTTCAATGGACCACTTCGAGGATCCTTATGTCGAGGAAACGGGACATGGTGACGGTGGACTTATAGAAACTACAGAGAACTATAGTAGTGACCCTACTGTAGAGCAGACCGTTGATAATTTAGGAGCTATCCAAGAGGAAAACGACGGAGAAGTATCGGATGACGGAGAAGAAAATACCAACAATAATGATTTAGAATAGATATTAGTATTGATTACCTGTTTGTTAAGTTTCGCATATTAATAAAATAGCAATCAAATTAATTAAGGCTGAAAAACTTGTTATCTCTCACGTGGAACCATGAGATCAAAGTGATCCATTTTAACCACCCGCCGTCCGTATTCTTAATGGACCAAAGTTGACATCGTTCTTACTCAATTTACAAAACTATGTCCGACAGCTCGACACGCTAGCATTGCAGTGCGTTTAACTGTAGTTGGAATTGATTGAAAAAGTGTTTTTCTAAAATAACATTGTCCGAGTCATAACTTCTTTTATTTTTTGGCTTACATTTTTTTTATTTGTTGTATTAATTTTGTATTTACATTGTGTTATAGATCAAATTTATTCGTTCAGTGTATGTTCACTTGTTTTTGTTAATATGTCTTTTGATTGAGTTAAGCCATTTTAATTGATATTTTATAGTGTGTCTTTCTATGTTGTGATGTTACACTAATGTTTCATATAGGGTGAAGGTTGGCGCCTATTAAAATGTTTAAACCCGCTGCATTTGTTTGCACCTGTCCTAAGTCAGGAACCTGATGTTCAGTGGTTGCCGTTTGTTGATGTGGTTCATAAGTGTTTCTCGTTTCTCGTTTTTTATATAGATTTGACCGTTGGTTTTCCTGTTTGAATGGTTTTACACTAGTCATTTTTGAGGCCCTTTATAGCTTGCTGTTCGGTGGGAGCCAAGGCTCCGTGTTGAAGGCCGTTCTTTGACCTATAATGGTTTACTTTTACAAATTGTGACTTGGATGGAGAGTTGTCTCATTGGCACTCGTACCACATCTTCTTATCTTTTTACACATGTTATCTGGTATGAAGATGAATTACCATAAGATTTTGTATCGCCTACCATCACCACCTGCATTTGACTTATACCTTTGACCCCAAGGTCAAAATAATAGATTTTTGGGACATATTCTTGGCCGTTCACATTTTTAGCTCACCTGGCCCAAAGGGCCAAGTGAGCTTTTCTCATCACTTGGCGTCCGTCGTCCGTCGTCGTTAACTTTTACAAAAATCTTCTCCTCTGAAACTACTTGGCCAAATTAAACCAAACTTAGCCACAATCATCATTGGGGTATCTAGTTTAAAAAATGTGTCCGGTGACCCGCCCAACCAACCAAGATGGCCGCCATGGCTAAAAATAGAACATAGGGGAAAAATGTAGATTTTGGCTTATATCTCTGAAACCAAAGCATTTAGAGCAAATCTGACAAGGGTAAAATTGTTTATCAGGTCAAGATCTATCTGCCCTGAAATTTTCAGATGAATCTGACAACCCGTTGTTGGGTTGCTGCCCCTGATTTGGTAATTTTAAGGAAATTTTGTCGTTTTTGGTTATTATCTTGAATATTATTATAGATAGAGATAAACTGTAAACAGCAATAATGTTCAGCAAAGTAAGATCTACAATTAAGTCAACTTGACCAAAATGGTCAGTTGACCCCTTAAGGAGTTATTGCCCTTTATAGTCAATTTTTAACCATTTTTCGTAAATTTTTGTAATCTTTTACAAAATTCTTCTCCTCTGAAACTACTAAGACAAATTTAACCAAACTTGTCCACAATCATCATTAGGGTATCTAGTTTAAAAAATGTGTCCGATGACCCCGCCCGCAAACCAAGATGGCCGACATGGCTAAAAAATAGTACATAGGGTAAAATGCAGTTTTTGGCTCATATCTCTGAAACCAAAGCATTTAGAGCAAATCTGACATGAGGTAAAACTGTTTATCAGGTCAAGATCTATCTGCCCTGAAATTTTCAGACCAATCAGGCAACACGTTGTTGGGTGTTGCCCCTGAATTGGTAATTTTAAGAAAATTTTGCAGCTTTTGGTTATTATCTTGAATATTATTATAGATAGAGATAAATTGTAAACAGCAATAATGTACAGCAAAGTAAGATCTACAAATAAGTCAACATGACCAAAATTGTCAATTGACCCCTTAAGGAGTTATTGCCCTTTATAGTCAATTTTTTACAATTTTCATAAATTTGTAAATTTTTGTAAATTTTTACAAAATATTTTCCACTGTAACTACTGGGCCAAGTTCATTATAGATAGAGATAATTGTAAGCAGCAAGAATGTTCAGTAAAGTAAGATCTACAAACACATCACTATCACCAAAACACAATGTTGTCATGAATCCATCTGTGTCCTTTGTTTAATATGCACATATACCAAGGTGAGCGACACAGGCTCTTTAGAGCCTCTAGTTTTTATACTTTGAGAAAGACTGTTGGTAATTGGCACATAAGTTTGTCACCTCAAGGCGATATGTCCCGTACAATTAAAGATGACATGTGACCTTGATCTTTAACCTCAAGTTCATATAGTTGATTTTTCAGTGACATTTTCATGCCCACCAACAAACCATGCATTTTTTAGTTGCCATTTATACCTTTTTTGTGCACCTTAGGTTTTAACCCTCAAACAATATATTGTAAAATATATCAAAACATCTAAAAATTTGTTCAGATCGACACCCTTATAAATATCAGATTTCTCGAAATCTTTTTTTTTTGCTGGTGGTTCTTGATGAAAATCTGCTGGTCCTCACTATTATTTCTATTGCACAGTACCAAAATTGTGTCGGTCCTTTGCAAATTTTGGTGGTCAAAACCTTCGGACCACCGCTCTTCGAGAACTCTGACAATTTGCATGATACGACCCTTCCAGTGATCCAATGATTTGTGACCGGGGTTTATGTCGTGCCCCTCTCATATTACAAATTGCTTAAATATCTCCCGCCCCCTGATAGGAATATAGATTTTGCATCTAACTATCCTGTCCAATATCTAATTTTGATATTATAATTACCATCTTGTAACTTTGCTCGGTAGTAATGAAAATATGCCCCCTAGTCTTATTTTGGAAAACTAAGTAAAATGTATCAACTTTAACTAGAAATGTATGGTAGAAGCCAGAAATCGTTAACAAAGTATAATTCATCAGAAATTAACTACAAACTGAAACTTAGACACACTTGAAATGAAAAAAAATCCAAACATTGCCACGGTCAATATTTATCCAGGCGTAAGCAATTGTCGCTGTTATGAAAGATGGATAAAAAAATGAACAAAAGAGAAGGTGTATATGTAAATGCTCTTTTGTTCCGACGTTGAAAAGTTCCGGGCGGAAAGAACTACCTAGCCGAAAAGTTCCGGAGGAACTTATTAACTAGTAACTTTGTTCTTCCTCTGGTTTAAAAGTTCCACCGGAACAAAGTGACTAGTTGAAAAGTTCCAACGGAACATATCAACTAGTTAGAAAGTTCCTTTTTGCCAAATTAGTCAAAACCGGAACTAACAAACTTGCACAAAAGTTCCAACGGAACTTATCAACCAGGCAGAAAGTTCCATTTGGAGAATTGATGCAAAGTAAAAGCGCAACATATTATATTTGAACCTTTCAAAGGGAAACCAAGATACTGATTACAAAAGTCAAAAGGAACTTATCAACTAGCCACATAGTTCCTCTTTGGCAAATAAGTCAAAACCGGAACTAACAAACTAGCCCGAAAGTTCCTACGGAACTTATCAACCAGTCACAAAGTTCCATTTGGAGAATTGATGCAAAGTAAAAGCGCAACATATTATCTTTGAACCTTTTCAAAGGGGAACAAAGATACTAGCCACAAAAGTCAAACGGAACTTATCAACTATTCACAAAGTTCCTCTTTGTTAGGGTTAGGGTTAGGTTAGGGTTAGGTTAGGGTTAGGGTTAGGGTTAACTATTCAACTAGCTACACTGATCCAGGACTTTTCAACTAGCTACTTTTTTCCGGAACTTTTAGACTGCACTCGGAATAAAACAACTAGTTGGAAAGTTCCATCGGAACGAAATAACTAGTTGAAAAGTTCCGCCGGAACAAAGTAGCTGACGGAACATAGTGGCTGTTACATATATAAGGCAACTTTTGCGGCCCATTGAATTTGAAAATCAAAAAGTATTTTAAATGTATCAAATAACATCCTCCGAATATTCGAAGACAGTTGCCTGAGATATAAGGGGTATGACACGCTTTTGGGATGTGAGATAATGGAGATAAAAAAGTGTAGTTTGGGTAAGGGCACCCCCTCAGATCTCAGTATTTACATTTTTGTGTTGTGTTTTACGTATCTGCTTTAGGACTTGAAACTTCCGATTTCATGCACAACTGTAAAATCTCTAGAAAAAAACTATAAGATTTACGAAGAATACATTGTTAAAGATTAGATATCGAATAGCCAGATAGCGTCTTCTAAATATAATTCCGCGTCTTATATACAATAGGACTTCAATCAAATTATGTCCGAACATTTTTGTACACTAAAATTATTTCATAAAGACAAATTGCGAAGAAATTTCTTCCCACACGTGAACCACATTGTGCTTTAAAGTGGAACATTTTAGAGAAGATGCTCACAGGCGAGTTTGAGGATGACTCCAAGTAGGAATGTTTGATTCAATATTTCTATGAATGAAAATGAAAACTTGGCTATGCTTCCGCTCTCTCAGATTCTTCAGATTTATGAATAAAATGTAATGCATCGGAAATGTCATAGAATACAGATTCTGACGGGAAATTCTCAAAAACTCCAGCTGAGGTCAAAGTATCGAGAAACGCTGATGAGCAGTTTGTTAAAAATATTTCAATTTCAACAGATTTATACTCCTTAATAACTTGAGAAAGCATGCTTATTCCTGAGAGATCAATGTGTGATATCATCTGGCAATCTATTATGATATAATGTATTGCACTTTGGACCAGCTTTTTTGAGTCCATACTGTTTCCAATATCTTTTGGTAATTTGCTGTTTTCTGTAGATTGACCATTTACCATTTCCAATGCAATGGTCTTTTTCTTGGATCTGTTTTTTAATTTTATTGGATCTATGATTTTTCTGTTTATTTGTGTTTTAAATTGCCCTGCATTTGCAAAATATAATGGTGCCTGAAACCGAAATATTTTAATGTTTTCATGGTCTCGTACATTTTTCCTTTTCTCGCAATCTAAAAACACATTTTCATTTCCTGCTTGACCAATCAGAATACCCGATGAAACTTGATGCTGAATGACGACGGAAGTAATAGAAAATGCTATCCCTGCGATAATACCATAGTCCAGATTTACAAGCACAGAGACAAAGCACGAAATTATCCATATAACAAAATCTAATTTGTTTATTCGCCATATCTTTGGCAGATCACCAAACTGTAAAATCAAGTTTTTCATAGCAACAGTTATCATTGCCGCTAATACTGACATTGGTAACGACTGAAATAATTGTCCCATCCATAAAATAACAAGAAACATGAATACAATTGTTGGTATAGAATTCAGAGTTGTTTCAGCACCTAAATCACTGTCTAACATTGTTCTGCTTGGTGTGGCTGACTGTGGGAAACAGGAGAAGAAAGATGATAGAATATTAGTTAATCCGTATGCAACCATTTCCTGATTGTCATTTATGCGTTGATTATGAGTTTTTGCAGTTAATTTAGCCAAGGATATAGTGAGCATCAGAGTAAGAATAGCCATGATAATACAATCGACTAGAATTCTTGGAGCTATATCTAGAGGTGGGATGGCTGGAGGTCGGAATCCGGAAGGTATATCACCGATCACAGAAACACCAAGATTTTTCTCAAACTTTGCCAAATGTGATATTAAAGTAGAAACTACAACTACGATCAGATCGATTGGAATAGGAATCTTCATCCGGTTTTTGAATCTATCATTAACACAAACTTTCACTACAAGTATCACCGTTATACATATCACAGTAATAACAACGTCGGAAATAACAGTCTTTTCTAGGTTCGAGAATAATTCTATGTACATTTTCACAAGCTTTCCAGCCCCAGTGTGTGCGGACACCTCTATACCAAACATCTTCGGTACCTGACTGGAAACAATGTGGATACCAGCAGCCGTGGTAAACCCTCCTATAAAACTTTCTGACATGTATGTCAAAAGAAAGCCGAGACGTAGTAACCCTAGGGTCGTTAGTATTAGCCCTACCAGGAAGGATGCCGCCATAGCAGTAGAAGCTTTGTTAGCAATGATATCATATTCACTTATACCATTTGTAACTAAGTTTAACGAGTTATTGTTAGTATCAGACATGTTTATAAAGACAGTTGTGTTGGTACCTGAATCCAGTAGAGATGATTTGAAAAGAACGACTTCTGACAAGACAATCTTTTGTACGATTAAAGCAATCACTGCATTTGTTGCAAATGCTACATATGGTGAGGTTCCAAATATCGTGTAAAATAATAAGGGGAAGAATGTAGTGTAAAGCCCAAACACGGCCGGTAAACCAGCCAGAACAGAGAAAGCTAATCCTTGTGGTAAATGCATGAAACTGACTGTCAAACCAGCTATTAAATCTCCCACTATGTAATCTTTCTTGTAGCATTTCACTATCTTAATAATCGGAAAGAAAGAAGTTAAACATTTCCACGTTCTTCTTTTTGAACAGTAGCACTGCTTTCTCAATGTCGTGAAAAGAGATTCTTTTCGTGTTTCCTGTACTTCAAACAAGGAGTCAAGTTTTTCTTTAGTATAGATGCGACGGCTTGTGTGTAATTCAGTCATCTTCTGACGTTTCTGGAATAGAATGAAGACAGTACAAAATGATGGCCAGTGTTTGCGTACAATACATTTAGGAAAGAATTAAATAAATCATAAACGTTTCCAGAACGTTAGAAATGAAGTGCACATAATTGCTCAAGTAAGATATCAAATGCCTCAGGTCACCAAGGTCACTTCAAAGCAAATTTAGGTAAGTCTTAAAAGGTCACAGGCCGTTTTAAATGAGATGTCAGGTCGCAAGGTCGCAAGTCGGATTTGACTATGTTGGAGTAATTACAAGATTACATCAACCAACGGTTTCTTGAACATTGTTGAAGATTTGACATGTATTGGAAACAAGGTGTTAGTTGTCGAATTGGTTTATCTATAATTTCCTCAATATTTTTATACATTTGTTATGTGCGATATTCATCATTTCATTCATCGTAAATATATATATATATATATGTGCTAGGGTCACAGTAGCGTTAAGAAACAAACAATCATTACATACATAATGTGTAACAATTAAAAATACTGTGTAATGGCAGACAGAAGGGGGACATAGTAAGAGTGAGATAGGGAGGAGACACCCATGAAATTTAATGTACATAGTTAATTTTGAGAGGTGATATTCAATATACAACCAAAACATAAATATTTATAATTATAAACAACAATAGATTTTGTTTTACAAGATTTGAAAGATATATACTTACTTATTCATGCAGTTTCTAACATGGAAACGGAAATACTCGCCGGTGTGTTTTCTTCCTTTCCTGAATGTCGAATATATAAAAATTCAGCTCGACATTGTTGGTATGTTCGTATTTTATCAAGTATACATCTATCATGGTGATTATGGAATTTTACTAATCCATTCGAAAGAAAATGACCATTTCAATAAGCCGAATGAAATATTATCTCTAAAGATATTGTGATACAAATGAACGAAACTAATTATAGTCCGTGAAGAATGTGGGTTACTATATGACATTGATAATCGATAATGTTATAATCTGCTACTGACCTCATTTATTGCAGGGCATTGACCTTGCGCCAGTATTAGAAAATTTAAATATAGATTCTATAACTGCATCAAGGGTGATACGATATTTTTTCACTCAAGACCTCAGCTCAAGACAGAAAAATTTAAAATTTTACTGTCGAGAGTGCACAAATATTGTATATCACACGATATCCTGTGATCTCTACTGATATTGACAATATGTAGGCAAACTTCATCTTTCTTTTCCAAGGATCTATAAAAAGATTTGTTCTTTCTATGTCAGGTCATCAGGCATGCATGCATGGTCGCCTCAAATAACACGTTGATTATAAAAAAAATATCATACGATCGAGGAAAGTATAAATAAGCTCCATTTAGCAAACGTCCACGTCATTTACTGGTCAATGGCGTTAGCATAGACTGAAAAGTGAGGAAGAACACCTTTTCTATATCTATAGTCTAACAATAAGTTATTCAATGTCCTCTTATTTTCAATATTTTTAGGCAAAAACGTCAAAAAAAAAGGGGGGGGGATTTTCCACCTTAATTTGCTGCTACACGGGATTTTAATATAAGTACACCTAAAAAACTGCAACCAATTACAGCAGGAGTACCACACATAAATCTCGAATATCCTTTAATGTCTTCCAGATCAGTCGGGAAAGGCTTTGCTGAATAGGACTCTCATGTGATATATATCTCAACAACCTAAGCACCATGCCTTTTTAGACACTTGCATGTTAAACATAGCAATACTATGCATAATGGACAAGTCAGCGACACTGCCTAAAGTATACCTATCTGTGAATACTTTATATAACATGTTTTACATTTTAACAAGACGACCAATACCGGTACTGGACCTGCATCGCCGCATGTAAATCATTGAGGTTGCATTGATACTGAAGTATAACTGATCATTCCCTTTCATTGAAGGCAAGAAAACTTTGACGAGTGATGTAAAATTTCTAACTAAGTGCAAACAGGAAATGACAGCACGGCAGATGTAAAAATTGTATGCTTACACGCTACAGAGTCGTCTTTATCAAACTGCAGATCTAATATAAAATCATTTTGACGAAAGTTTTCTACTCAAGGTCACTCGGACGGACGGACGGATGGACGGAGTAATGCAGTCTGAGACACAGTCATCATAGCTCTTAAAGTCGAAGTTCAATAGAAGACTTAACAAAATTCATGAAAGTGTAGATAAGAAATGTTTTAGAAATTGAAGACAAATTGCCACAGATTACATACATAAATTCAATTTACTTTTAATTTTGTGCATTTTTTATAGGTCTAGTTTCAAGGGTAAACGACCGGCTTGGTGGATTTAAATTCAAAGTCATATAAAACGAGTTTCTTGTGATTATAATGTTAAGGAAATTATTAGACCAATGCATGCATATGTAATAAACTTTGTCCTATGTATACATATTTTTATTATTACTACGAATCCGTACGTATAATCGACACAAAATATTTTAATCATTGATTGTCTATCGAAAACTTTGGCTGGTAATTAACTTCCGATTGTGACCTCACAAAACATTTGAGAACGTGATGATAAAGCAATGTTTATTTGTTTTTAATATTGCCCATGCGTTCCAATTAGTCAAGTATAATTCGTCATACAAGTTGTTAAATGCTTTGGTGCATTATTTTTTGCGTGAACCCCCTGACCCCCTGAGGGGTTCACGCTTATATGATTGGTGATTTTTGGAAGTGTCTATGGGCCAAGCGATATCCTCCAAATCAAGATTCTCGGAACGTCTCGAAATTTTTCGATCATTTATACAGGTAGTTATTTATGTCTTTGATACGGTCCCTCTATGGATAGGCTACCACGTGCACGTGACATTGTATATTTCAACAATCAAAGTTCATTTGTAGATTGGCAAGTAAAACAATAAAGACTAGGTTGCAGTCAAAAAATCATTTATACGTTAGAACCTATTTGCCTTTTGACAAAACATATGTGTTTCTAATAATGTGAATGTTTATTAAATATCAAGTAAAACGATAACGCAATTATATAATTCACGCTTTGAGACGGCCCCTGAACGCGTTGTCTGTCTAGTATTTAATACAGCGTGCTGTTGTGCACTGTGACAAACCTGGGAATAGTTTATTGATATATAATGTCCCAGAATTAACTGATTATTTCTGAACGTTTATCATTTGATATTTTGTATTTCAATCATAGCATGGGAAAATATCGGAAAGCATGAAGAAAATTAAGAAAAAAATATTTCTTTTAAAAATATTTATCTTAGGTCGGAAACACAGTGGTCGGAAAGCAGAAAGATAATCAAACAAATGAACTTTTCTGTCAAAAATATCGAATTTCATTTATAGATACTACCAGACTAAGAGAATATGCATTATAAGTTTAAGCTGAGACTGAATTTATTCTTAATAATTAAAATTGTCATATATACGTGCAGTATGTCTCACAGGTTTGAATAGTCATTACATTTATGAAAATTATATGCAACGTATGATCACCATTAAGCAGGGATGCGTACCCAAAGTTAGCTAAATGTCTAAGTTTTAAACGGTCGTGAATGAAAAAATACTTGCATGGTTTCAATTCACCATGACTTTTTAAAAATCCTTGCATGTCACAAAAAACGTAATTAATATTTCACAATAATCATAACAAAATTTAATTACTATCATAATGTTGATTATTTTATACTGTTTTAGAATGGATTTATAAGTCTCTGTTTATATTTTGTATAGCAATATATTCATATAGTGGAATGTTATACTTTATAAAGAGATTGATTTGATAAATAAAATGCCCATCCGTAAATACTTGACGTTTGTGTTTATTGATATTATAAAATAATATTCTAAATTTTTCGGAAAAAAAATCACTAACAGGTTTGTATGTTTACTATTAAATTTCGATTCTTTTTTTTGTTTGTTTGTTTTAATAGTTCAACCTTATAGCATCTAAAAATTTGTACTATGGTACAAATACGTATTCTTATCCAGAGTATCAGTGCGTATTTTTTCTATTTACTATTTCTTGCGCAAAAATACCACGTGCATGCATACATATTAATTTCACTCGTGAATGCAAATTTTCGCTTTTCTTATCTATATTCAGAACACGGCAGTAATAGATTGACATGTGACTTTCAAGCACGGTAATCATTACTTACGGTATTCTGAACTCTAGCTGTTTCTCTTTTTTTTTTGAGTCACTGTCCTACTATAAAGTTTGACATTTTCGAAATACTAAGGATTTTCTATCTAAGGAATAGATTACTTAACTTCGTATTTTATTTGGCCTTTTTAACTTTTTTTATTCGAGCGTCACTGTTGATTCTTTGTAAACTTAACTCGCGTCTGGCGTACAACATTTTAATCCTGGTATCTTTTTATACCTACATATCTTTTGAGAGTATGTTCAGGTATTCATAAAACTTCTGAAAATTAGATATTCTTCAAAACCAAGTTTTTCTGTAGAATACATGGATTGATTTAAGTAAAATCGGGAATTCCTTAAAATTTGAGATGTTTTACGAGACCAAAATAGTCTCTATATAAGAGGTCACAATGAAGCTGGTGTGTTACTCTCAGGAAAAATATACGAAACCTTCTTATATAAGTTGCATGCCACAGGGTTTCACTTCACATGGAAATTGGACTTAAAATTTATCTATACATCTACCATGAGTACAGACAGCTTCAAAATAACGAGTTGAGAATAATTGAAGGCATCCATGCAGGAAACAAAATATCAAGATATGATAGATAAAATAAATGCATCCAGATTCTTAAGCAAACTGAGTGCTTAAATTTATATTGCGATTGGTTTGTGCAATTTGAATTAGACATCCGGTTGTAGAAACTGGGATTTGCAAAAGGGTTATGAAAAAAATGTACATTCCCAAGTAATAAATAAAATAGTCGAGCTTTAAAATGTATATTCAAATAAAAGCTGTATATACATGTATACACTTTTCTATTCACAACTATCCAACATTGCTTTCAACTGACTTGTGCAAGAATCTACACACAATTGCATATTTTTAATAAAGGTGGTTTAACATCATCATTATCTTATTCTATTCACAGTCAATTATTTCATTCAAAAGCAAACAAAAATTCAGCAACAATTTTTTGGTGACCAGTCAGCGGTCTTGGGTTCACGTGTTGCTTTTCTTTTTTAAAGAAAGCAACTTGTTTTATATTTCCTCTACACGTTTTTAACCTTATCTTCCCTAATGCAATTGCGCTGTGTGGTTGTCGAATTTCTAACGAGAGATGTCAGGGTTAAGGTCACTGGACGTTAAACAGCTATCCTATATACAGCATACGGAAAAGCTGTCGTCGAATTAGAGTACGGGAAGACATTTGTTCAAAAGCAGTTCATTTTAGAGTTTTATCGTAAAACATTTTGCCATTCAAATATATAAAACATGTTCAACTTTTTTGTTATAAAATTTGAAAATATCGTATGAATTTATTGGGTGTCTTTGAATGTCCGACGTCTCTTTTTGTTGTACATTAAAAATGTGTTAAAGGGGCATTAGCTACGAGATAAAAAATTGAAATCTCAATCATTAATGGAAGTGAAATAGTGAAATAATAATTCGTTCTTAGCAGCCAGTTTGGTTCAATTTTTTCAAAATAAGCTAAGAAAAATCGCTGAATTATTCACTTGCAAGTGAATAATTCGACCTCATTGAATCCGTAATCATGTGACCTCCAATTTAACCCCTTAGTGGGTTACGCATAAACTAGGCGTGTTCAACTACTAGTATTAAAAGGAAAAGAATGACGACATTGAAAGTGAAACAAGGGTAAACCATTTGGTGTCTGATTCGATCCACAAAAACTCATCCTTATGCAAGTAAAAACGATGATCAACATATTTTTTAACCTATAATATGAAATCAAACAGACCTAGAAAAATTCAATTGCACTGTTCCCTATCTAT